AATTGCTCCCGATGCTGTGCATGTATGAATGCGTTTCTGTTCGATGGGCTTTGCCATAGTGTAAAAGTGGAATGTCAGTTTCAGAAAGTTACAGAAGTTGTCGGACTTATCTTCAGTTCGGGCAGGAGCTTTCCACTAAGCTAGAGTAAACGCACCTTGGACCTTCTGTATCTCTGTACTAAATGCACTGATAAAACTCATCTAGCTGTGGATTTTGACAACAAGGGTTAACAGAGTCCTTCAAAGTTAGAAGATAAAATTATCTATTACTGATTCTCACAGTGTAGGATTTGGAGGGGATAAACTGAGGCTTCTTTTAACACAGGGGAAGGTACCAAGGAGAACTGCCCTGTCTTCTGCGGTCTGTAATTACTTGAGGAATGCCTGCTGTAACCGCCCACTTCCTCCCACTTCACACTGGCACAGACCCTTAAATAACAGCATGACATTCTCCCAAACCACGCAAGGCTTTATTCCTTTGGAACCTTGAACTACTGGAGCAATCAATCTCAAACATGACTCTGGACAGCTAGAGTACGTCTCTCTGAAGAGGTGAAGGTGATTCTCACAAGAATCAAGGCACAAATCTGGACATGACCTGACACACTTCGCAAAATGAATTATTGCAACTTATTTACAACTGAAACTGTCACACTGTACATACAATGCATCGTCTCAATGAACCGTTGCTTCCGACTTGCTGAAAACCCAATGAGTTGAACACACTGAGGGGAAATGTACTGGAGTCTAAGCTGGCTTTTCAGAGCCTTCTTGACACAGAATTCTATTTCACAAGGAAGGTTTCTTATTTAGGAATTCAAGGATGTTGTAGAGAAGCAGAGTGTACGGAGATATTTTGGGTAGCAAGGATTCCAGGGGGGTGCCACCAATTAGCCCTGGTTCTTGAACCGGTTTGGTTCAAGATTCTTGGAACCTTGGTGCTATCTAGTGAACCAGCCCGCAATTTTGTCATCAACAGTGGGCGTGCACATCATGCAAAGAGTTTTGGTAAGAAACATTAAAAAAAAAAGGTATTTGACATATACTTTATGTCCCATTTGTTAACATGGAGGGGGCAGGGCTTATTAGCTATACTGCAGCCAGCCAAGATTTTGCCTTCATTTTTGGGGAGCTGTCATGTCACCCATCTTAATATATGGTCAATGGTCCGATCTGAGTTCAAGCTAGGTCAGGAGAAAGGTCGGCTGCCTTAACCCATTCAGACAGACCGCAGATGTGCCACATTGAAATTAACATTTTGTGTACATTCCTGTATATATAAATTCACTAAGGACAGGGAACTGCTCTGTCAGCATTGTGTCAAATAGGAGTGCCTCGGTACTGCAACACGATATTCATTTGTGAAGGAGGTTAGGCCATTTTAACTGCGTATTTACAGTGGGAAAATAGTGCTCCTCACACGTGGCAATTTTATCTTTATAATAATAATTATCTTATATCTAGCCTAGAGTAACATACTTTGAAAAATACTTCTGTAATTGAATAAAAATCCAATGTAAAGATAAAATGAACTTGAGAAAATGCAGATTTAGATCTTTGAATCCACTGGCAATAGAACCGCTCCAAAGAACAAATTGTTACAAATATAGAGCCAGGTGGACTTGATCTACAGTGGCGGTCCATGGAGACCTCCAGGTGCATCTACCCTGTATTAGTTTGAACAAAATATTCTGAGCAGTTTCCCTTGGATTTGGAGCAAGAGCTGTTGCTGACTTAAAGCTAAACTGCTACCAGGACCAGGCCTGGAGCTTCTTTTAATGCTTTTTTTTTTTTCTTGTTTTCAGTGATTGACCCAAAAACTGGCACTGCCAAAATAACTCACCAATCAGCATTTGATGGATTATGATGTGAAAGTACAGTACTCCAGTAATAAAGCTGCAAGTCCCAGAAACTGAGGAGAATCATTAGACTGACTAAACAAATGTGGTGACAGAGAACTCAAGATCGATTGTAATAAACAGTCCTGTCATCATTTTGACAGGCTGAATGATACAGTACATATATTTATGTTTTAGCAGCATGCTAGCCATTATTTTTCTGTCTGAGTTTGTGTCAACTGTTTAAACTAACCAAAATGGGAGCCTTTTGAGTTAGCAGCAAAATCCTAAAATCAGGCTATTTCTCGAAACCCTCAACTCCACTGTCAAGATAAAGAAATTTGATTCTGTTTCCAACATTCCTCTTTTATCCACACACATACACACAAACACACACACACACACACACACACACACATTGTTGTCCTTGTGATGTCCTGAGTTTGACTCTGTGCAACTGCTCTGTAGACATCAGCTCCATGACAGCACTATAACTATAAAAGCATGTGCTTTTTGGACAGGTTGGCTTGTAGGTCTTCTCATTGGAGGATCTAATTTTCAAAAGTCCATTTGAGTCAGAAAGCAAAAGGTAAAATGATGGAAATGAATGATAAATAATAAAAATGCCCCAGAAGTACAGATTATGAGATATTAAGTAAAAAAGTCATCATTTTGACTTTGCTGCAGTAGGCAGTTGTCATATTGCTGAAACATATTATTTATTATTATAAATACTTTATACCCTGACAGTAGAACACAAGCAGATAATCTTTATAAACATCAGGTTCCTCTGGCTCCTCCCCTAGTGCTCCTAATTGGCATTTGCAAGATCACTGGGCCTGAACGAAAACAACCAAGATGCAAAGCGGATGGGTGTTTTGGTTGTCTCAATTGAAATGATTAACTATTCACAGTAGGGTCCATGATTCCATTGGAACCTTTGCCACTATTAAATAAATTATTAATTAGTTATTTTTTGCAATGAGCCATCTACTAGTCAGTGTTGTATGTTGAATGTATGTATGCAGTCAAACAAATAACTCTGGATGAACCTACATCATGGAAAGTATTTCTACAGGATTAAATGGTTTTCTTACAGCATTAAGCAATTATGTTGGTCCAACTCAATTTACTTGAGCTGAGTCAACTTAACTTAGTGAGGTTGAATCAACTTATTTACTAGGTTTGGGTCTGACTTTAATTTAATAGGGTTTGTCCAACTAATTTTACAGTTGTAACATTACACAACTAAATAATCCAACCCAAGTAAATTAACTTGGTCAAACAGAATTACTTAAGAAAGTCATTTAATCGCATAAAATATGTTCCATGATTTAATTCAGTAAGTTCAAACAATAACTTTTGAATTTAACTTAAAACAACAAAAACGTGTTCTTATTGGACCTATGTGTTGATTTCATTCATCTGAATTGTCTTTCAATCATGTCAAACATTCATAAAGCAATCATTCAATGAACTTTAACACAATAGATTCATTTATTACTAACATAATTCTTATGTGCTGATCAAACACATGGCCTGATTGTTTTTTTGAGTGTGTATACGTCCATGACGCAAGATGCAATGGGGGGTCGGCTTTGGAGTTTTGCTGAAGTTTGGGCATCAAGCCTCCAGAGTTTGGGTAGCTCTGATCTAAACCAGATAACTGGCTAATGTAAATGGAAAAAGGGGCTGCTAGAATGTGGGGGAAAAAAAACTCTACCATACAAAGCCAACAATGTCCAAAAGGCACGTGTACTTAAGATCATGTATGGGTTTCCACATGGGACTTTGCAGTGAGGGTGGATAGAGTATCTAGAAACAGTCTGATTTACAAAAAGTTGTATTTAAGGGGGAAAGTGAACTGGTTTATTTCTGCTCACTGTCACACTGAGCATAAAGGTACAATAGGGAAGATCAGAGGCAAGCACCACTTCAATCCCATATACTATCTTGAGCACCTGAAATATATTTCAAACCGTATCAAAGCTGCATTCACAAAACTACTTATTAATTCTGACCAAACTAGAACTGGATTTGCTGTAAATGCCGTAGCTTAGCTTAAAATACTGCTGAGGAGGGCTTAGCTGATAGCAGTAGCGAAATGTAAGCAACAGGGATAGCTCTCACCCTCAGGTGATAAGCAACAAATAATCCATCCAAATCTAACACACCTGATATATACACACTGTAGACGCTCCCAGCCTCCAGCTCCACTGCATGAGCTCTGCAGCAGTTCTGATCAACTCTTTGAGGGACAGGGAAATACTCAGCAGCAGTGCAGCAAGTAGGAAGAAGGACGAAAAGTAATAATTGTACAACATCTTGATTACACGCAGGACAGCAGTGGTATGTGTATAGCAGGACATAGGAAGGAGCTGTGTCACTGAGCTGTGTTCTGACATCTAACTGTAAAATGTTTCCAAGAAAATGTATTGTTTCTACTGTTGATTTTTCTCTGCCAGTGTCTTGACTCGTGACAGGGCAAGCCTAGGGATTTTCTCTCTTTTACTTTTTAAATTTCAACTGCTATTCTTATGTACTACTAAAAAACACATTATTTTCCAAGACTATTTAAATATACGTCTTAAAGATGCAGTAGGAAACATTTATAAAAGTAACTTTAATCACATTTGCTGAAACTTTCACTATATCCTGACAGCAGTACATAGATAATCTGTGAAAAAAGCAGATTCCTCTTGCTCCTCCTAGTGCTCCTAATGGCATGTGTAAGAATCAAGTGTGAACCTATCGTGACGTCACCCATAGGTTTGTGGAGAACCATTTTTGAAGCCATGACAGTAAAACGGAGCCAGCACAAGCCAGCGGACGTGACGTACTGCGAGTTGGTCTAGACTCATTGGCTGTGCAGTTTTGACTCGGCCATAGCAGGAAACAATGGCAGCTCGCCTCGTCACACACAATCTCGTATTACAGCTAAACAGTACTCTAAAATAGTTTCAGTTTCTGAAAGATTTTAAGCGAGAAATAGACAATGTATTACCAGAATCTAGCTTCATATTTGATCAGCACTGCCTAGTTTGACAGTTTGATGAGAGTTTTGTGCGCTGCTCTGGACGGAATCACTGAGAGTGACCTGTCAATCAAAAGGTAGCCCCGCCCAGAAGCACATACAGCTTTATTGTCTATTTTAAATTAAATTAAAAAATAATTTACTAAATGAACATCATAATGTATTAAATAAAATGTTAGACGAGTGACTGAGACCCTAAACTCATCAGGAAACTGTTTACTGAGCTCATAAAGAAAGTGTCAAGTCGGCTCATTCTCCATTCAGGTGAATGGGATCGCTGTGTTATTGCAGCCAACGGTGCTGCCACCTGCTGGAATTTACATAGAATGCATGTTTAAGACACTTCCAGACCCGGAAGCTCTGTCCATTATATATACTGTCAATAGTAACAATACACCGGGCCTGAATAACACCACAACCAATCAGAGAAAATGGTGATTATCTTTCTCATGTAATACTGTCAGGATATAGTNNNNATATAGTCAGAGTTTAAGAAAATGAGAAAAAAATATGATTTGATTGGTTAAGGTAAGAAGATCATGGTAAGCCAATAAGAGTTTTCCACAGTAGGGTTCGTAAATTTGCGTCCCGGATGTGTCTTTGCACTGGAGGTAGCAAAATGAAGCTGTAACTCCAGGTTGATGCACTGGCTTTGTCTGATTATTTTGTCACGCCACAATTCACAAGGTTAAGACACACCTTTTTCGGCCAAACAGTAAAACACTGGTGGCGGTATGTGGTTTGGTGGTAATCTGACCAAAAAGCATGTTTTCCTGGAGGCTTTCTGACGTTCAGAGAAACCATACACCTTCAGCTCTGCTCTACTGCCAGTACATAGATCCACTGCCTGTCCTGTGTGTTCAAGCCCTTGGACTGAAAGCCACTCAAAGTCTTTAAGGCTTCACTGTATGATGAGTGTGTGTAGAAAAGGCTGTACTGTGACATATTGCATAAATCACCATCATCACCACTACAGTGTTAACCTTCAAATCTAAATCTTATTTAGCATTCTTTGATCCAACATTTAGAACTGCACAATACTATTTAATTCCCTGCTTGTGTGAACAAAGAAATCAGAGTGTAGAGACATAAGTGCAAGTCAACAAGTTGTGAGTGTGTGTGTGTGTCTGTCACACCAGCCCTCAGAGGGGAGTCTGTAGGTGTGTGTATTGCTGTGATGGTGTGGAGGAGGTGGAGGAGGGGGTGTTGGGGGTGGGGCTGTTAGCCAGACGTGAGGAAGGGGAGGAGTCAGACAGCTGCAGCTCCTCCAGCTTCTTCAAGTACTCGTCTCTGAGGGCCAACAGCTCCTTGTAGCGCTGCTCCACCGGACTCTGCTGCTAGAATACACACACACACACACACACACACACACACACACACCACACACACACAACACACACACACACACCTAAACTGTTATTTAGGGTTTCATTTTTATAGTTATTTGTATTCATTTATATTTATATATGTATACTTTAAACTGTGAACAGTTAACAGTTCAATTTCAAGTTCAAATTTAAAAAATGACAAACTACAAAAATGTTCTTTAATTTTGTCATCAAAGTATCAGTTCAGGCACCGTTTAGGCACCAGTACGGTTTTAAAAGTATCATTTTGTCACTGGCATCAGACAAAAACAGTAACCAACTCTAATCGTTAGTTGCAGCCTTATACAAAACCCAAATAAAGAGCAATGTTAAGAAATGAGAGAAAGAAACAAGAAATGTGTGTGGCTGCTTGTGGTTTGGTTAAACACAAGTTTATTCAGGCATTGGTATTCACAACAAGCCAGGTAATAATGGTGGAGCCACCTTAAAGCCCTTAGAATTTTAGCTGATATTGTAGCAGTGCATATTCTGAAACTAATTTGCAATAAATCACTATACTACAAAGCAACAGATTCACAATGAATAATCTGGCTTCTGGGCCCCTGAGGGTCTTAGGCCGACTTAGTAACGCAGCCCAGGTCACAGTATATTATAACAAACACACTGGCAGTCCTACCTGCTGTCGTATGCGTGGGTTCCAGCGGATGTAGTATGTTACCCAGAGCTCTAGGTGGCGCATGCTGGCGACTGGGTAGAGGACCCTGCCAGACTCCGGGGTGTAGAAGGGGTTTAAATAAATGTCCATCTTACTGTTGACCAGAGACCACAAAGACACCGTCTTCGACCTCACGTCCTGCACAACAGAGAGGGTAAGTGTGAGATGTTGAAAGCTGAAATGCGCTGTGCTGTCAAAGCATGCTTGCATGCATGTTGTGGGACAACTTAGAGCAGGAGGCAGTTTATGTCAAGTCTTACGTGCTGGTCTCTTGCGCTCTCACAGTTGTAGAGGAAAGTCCCAAAGCGACAGCTATACAGATGATCCAGGATTGTCAGCAGGAGGCGCTCATTAAACTCAAAGGCTGTAGGAAACTGAGAGGAGAGACCGGTTACAGATCAGAGATGGCCTCAGTCACCTTACATCAGGAAACACCTTCCTGCTATGTGGACTGAGCACTGTAGTCCACATATGTGACTGGACTCACTTAGCTGCCACTTGCCGTGATTTTATTATGAGCAAACTAAATACTAGTGTAAATAAACCATTCTAATTACAAGCCTCCCAGCCACTACATGTGTTTAAATCAGCATGTGTTTAAATCAGGAACAAGTCTGCAAATGAGTCTGCATTGATGATAAATGAATGAGACAGACGCTTTATGCTGGATGAAAAGCTTCTCCTTCAGTACATCAAATCCCTGCAGACATCTGAAGTCAGCAGCTCGCATATGTTAAGAAATGTGCAGCGTCTGATTGGAGAAGTGCTGACTCAGAGTTACAGGCGGCCATTCACTATGTTAAATCCTATGCAAATGACACCACGCACACACACTTTTACACACATCTGATTTGTTGGAATTCTGCTGTTTATGCTGGTCTCAATAATCCTCTGTGTCACTGCCTGGCTTTGATGATGTGACCATTTACAACATGAGATACAGCAGAATTATGACTGAAATCACATTGATGCGATGTAACGGAATCAGTTTTTTTTTTAGCTACCATGTGATAAATTATGTAATAAATGCCAGCAAGGTTACATTCCCACATCAGTGCGGCTTGGTGATTCAACATACCTGTTTGGTCATCTGCCATACACAGTCGATGAACTGAACAAAGATGGGGGATCTGTCCTGATCTGCATGGTTCTTGTCACCGTGACCTATCCTCTACACACACACACACACGCACACATCAAATGGTTAACAAGAAGGTAAACTTTTAGCCATTTCTTGTATAAATATCTTTCTGTAAAAATAAGTGACAGTATAAAATTAAATATGAATATCAATATAAATATGAATTAATAGCCTGGGTTTTTATTATTTTATAACTTAACCTGCCCTTATTTGGAACAGGCATCTATGTGGGACAGGCCTTTATCTCCTTTTGCACAAAACTAGGGATGTCCTGATCATGTTCTTTTAGTCCCCGATCGGATCGGATTTGGGTAATTTCATTTTGATTATCTGCACAGTCCGGATCCGATAGGCTACTTGTATTTTTGGTAGATAATACAGTGCACATCGCACACTTCAAGTATATTAAAGATAGAAAAAAAACAATTCTATGTTTGACAATTGAATAGCTCCACATTGCATTAATACACTATTTCTTTTATTCTTTTTTTTTTTTTTTTTACAAAAATCACAGTATATACATAACTAAAGCCCCCTCTTATTTTTTTGCCTTGGTGCTGTCAGGAGGTGAGTTTCTCCCCTCTCCAGTGTTTTGGGCTTCGGGTCGTGCACGGCCTCTTTACCTGAGTTACCTTACCCATTTTTTACGACCTTACATGACATGAAGTACTCTTACTTGGCTTGTTGTTGTGGCAGCTTCCAGTGGCGCCTTGTTGGAGTGTGGTGTGCTGTCGGATCCTCCTACGCTCCCTTCTCCCACTCTGCCGGCTCTCTCGTCCTCACCACACCCACAGGCAGGGAGGTAGAGGAAAGGAAGCGCCCTCAAACAGGCCTCACATATAGCTGGATACGCGATCTGGTGTAAAAGAATGGCCCTTAATTCGCGCCTTACGGATCGTTTAGATCAGATGGGACATGGGCCCTGCACACAAAACTCTTTGCCAGGCAAAGACGTGGAGAAGTACTTCAACTTAAACCAGTATTGAATGATAACTGTAAACTATTGAATGACTAGTAAATCCTATGGACGTCAGTGTCCCTTGTCCATACTTTGGGTGCTCATGGTTCTACATAGAAGATACAGGCAGGTCGTCCTTTATTGTGTCCCGCACAATGGGGCGAAATTCCAGCAAAATTCCCCAAAAATTCTCAAAAGAAGTTTTGGGGAAGCAACTAATTCCAAGTTAAGAGGCTGGCACGGCAGCGCGTTGGGCGGGCCCTTCGCACTCCCACGCAACTCGGGGCGTGTTGCGGCCGCGCGTCCCCACCGTGCGCGTCCGTAACACGGCCGGTCGTAACATGTGCCGACCACAACCATGAAATTCAAGTAATATCTGGGACCAAGGTCACCTTTGCAGCGCTTACTCCCTGGGTGTGACAGTAGGGTGGGGCGCTATCGACTATGATCGAATATCGCTCATGTAGACGTGTTCAGGGCGGGACTGTGATCAAACCCGTGTTTTCATTGGCATTGGACCATGTACACTGAAGCGTTGTGGGAGGACGTGCGTTCTCCAGGGCTACCTGAAGACTATTGAGCTACTAAGTGTTTTATGCGCCCCAAATCGGGCCGGAATGTCGACACCGTCGTCCGTCACGGGCGCCAGCGTTAAACGTACAGTGCACCCAATGCCGACATCTTCTTTGTCGACCAAATGTTGTTTAGATGGCAGTGATCCGAATTGCATCCTGATAAAACTCTGTAGGAGCGGGAGTTGCGCCTAAAACCTACAAGGCCCATAAATGCCCAGGAAAGTTGCCACGGACCAGTTTGGATTTGATCAACCTGGGGCCGATTTTTGACGGCAC